CATATAGATAATTAGAGTATTGAGTAAAGCTCCCTGGCTATGCAGTAGGTCTTTATTGATTATCTATTTTACATATAGATCAATGTTCTCCTATATGACCAGGAATGTCACTTTTAATCACAAAGGACAGACCCTCTCTGTTTGGCCATCCTACCTAGCACAGCCAAATTGTTCCCAATGAAACAGTTTTCCTTCTGCCAAAAGTTTTCTCACCAAGATCATTATTTCCCATGTAAGATTTTCAATGATGTTTTATTGATCAAATTTTTTTGTTCACATTAGCCAGCTATATAGCATCTGCAGTTAAAAATTTACTTTTATGGACATTTTATCCACCAGGTTCAATTATTCTAAATCAAATTTTGTAAATTTTATCAACAAGATGTGCTTCTGTCAGGTTTTAGTCAAAACCATTTTTCTATGTGCAATTTTTGTTTTGAGTATGCTTACTATTTAGTATGTGTTATGAATTCGATAAAAGAGTTTGCATTAATTTTTTAGCTAATTCATGAGAAAATCGTAAGGCTGTTTCAGGGTTGCTATGTTGTAAAGGATAGGACTGCTCTATTGTTCAGCCAGTTCAGAATATGTTCCGGTCACTTTGGGTCTTAAGAGTTCTAAAGTGCTGGTGGAGCAAAGAACAAATGGCCAGGCTCCAAATCCATCAGTGTTTAGGGTGGAGAAATCTAGCATCTGTTGGGTTGTTGGTTTTTTTTTTTTTTTTGGAAGGCTTTTTACTCTCTCCCCCTGCAACTTCCCGATTTTCTTTCTATTTTCTCCCTAAATTTTTCAGCCCTTTCAGTTTCTCTGACTGATCACGATTCTTCTGCCCCACCTCCCCCAGCCTCACTCCCTGTCCCAGACCCTCTCCTCTGAGAGCTAGCTGTATTTTCCCTTCTCTGTTGCTTTCTTCTATGTCCCTGCCCCCATCTCCTTCCAAGAGCTGCTTATCAGACCCCTCAATGTTACGATTATAAAGGCTTAGAGAGAAACTCTTCACCCACCCCACCCCCACACCCACCATGCAGAATCCCGCCGGGATCAAATAACCAAGAGAGGTTGTGAACCTGTGCTTCCTATATGGCTTTAAAAGCAGCACTGGGGGTGGCCTGCTCGTGCGGGCTCAGCTTTCACAGAATCTGTGTGAAGACAGAGGGATGGATGATGTGATCTCAGGAGGGCCCTGACAGATCGGGAACCTGGGAACCTCATCTCGGTCATCATCAATTTAGATTTATTGGACACCCCCTGGGTGCTTCGAGCTGTGCTAAATGATTTCATCCTTCGAGCCCTGAATCCTAGTTTCTGCCTTTTTGTAGCAGCTGGTTAAAGTAGTGTAGTACTGGGCTGGGTTTCAACAAGCTTTAACAAGCTTTTCTTTCTGTTATTGTTTACTGCAAACCATGTTTTAAAAATTAGAAATTAAAAGTTAGAGGATTAAGTAACGATGTTGGTGGTTGTCCGTGATTTCCTTTAGCATACGATCCTGTCAGTTCCCTCCGCACACGGATTCCTCTGCAGTGACTCTAAGATCAGAGGGCCTAGGGTTTCCCTTATGACTCAGCTGGTAAAGAATCTGCCTGCAGTGTGGGAGACCTGGGTTTTATCCCTGAGTTGGGAAGATCTCCTGGAGAAGGGAAAGGCTACCCATTCCAGTATTCTGGCCTGAAGAAGTCCATGAACTGTATAGTCCATGGGGTCGCAAAGAGTCGGACACGACTGAGCGACTTTCACTTTCCACTTTCACTGGAAAGTGGGGAGAATGATATTTATGGAGAGGATGCCTTTTGTCCAGAGCTGGGCTGGAGAAACAGGGTTGTAGGGAATATTTTAGGAGAGGCTTGAGAAAGAAGGGACAGAGAGGGAGAATCAAAAAGTGCTCCGGAGTAGTTTCTTTCTTTCAGTCAACAAATACTTATCCAGGACTTCCCTGGTGGGCCAGTGGTCAAGACTCCGTGCTCCCAGTGCAGAGGGCCTGGGTTTGAGCCCTGGTCAAGGAACTAGATCCCTCATGTCACAACTAAGACCTGGTGCAGCCAAATAAAAATAAATTTAAAAAGTAGGTATTTTTTCAGTGCCTACTCTGTGCAGGTAACTTTCTAGATGCTGAGAATATAGCAGTGAAATATATATATATATAATACATATATAAATCTCTACCTTCCTGGAAAGTGAAAGTCACTTAGTTGTGTCTGACTCTTTGCAACCCAATGGACTATTTTCCAGACCAGAATACTGGAGTGGGTAGCCTATCTGTTCACCAGGGGATCTTCCCGACCCAGGAATTGAACCTGGGTCTCCTGCGGGTGTCCTGCATTGCAGGTGGATTCTTTACCAGCTGAGCTACTAGGGAAGCCCACCTTCATGGAACTTATATTTTAGTAGGAAGAGACAGCCAGTAAAAATAAATGAATAAAGTTGGTTACGTATACCATAGCAACAAGTAAAGCAGAGAAGGGAGATGGGAAGCGTAGGGAGTTTTCATTTTAAAAAGGAAGATCAGGTAATGTCTCATTGATAAAGACCTGAAGGGACTTTGAATCTAGGTGAAGAATGTACTATTCCAAACAGAATAACCCAGGGGAAGGGCAGGGGACGGCATGGGAGGGGCAGAGCAGGAGAAAACGATGAACTAGCAAGAGAGGAGGGTGACTCGGCCTAGTTGGACCCAGAGGAGGTGATGAGAGGTCAGTTGAGCAGTGGCTCTACTGAGATTTGCTGGCGGGCTGGGCAAGGTGGCAGGAGGGAAGGTCTGGTCTGAATACCAGGGGTGGGGGGTGGGAGTTAGCACTACCTGAGATGGGAAGGGAGGGGGGTTCAGACTAGGAAGAGCTGACTTGGGAGAAGGTCCAGGAGTACAGTTTGGGACACCAGACGTTGTTACACTTGCGTTCTGGGGAGGTGGGGATGGCCTGGGGAAGGGGCCTTAAAGACATGAAAAGGGGACCCAGGGATATGAATCTTGCAGAAATTAAACCGATTTTGGATCGGGATGAGGTCAGGGAGAAAGCCCGGGGTGCTGGGAGGTGAGCCCCAAGGGGCAGGTCACTGGTGGACGCAAGGTGGACGAAGTTGGGTGGGCTGTCAGAGAACCAAGCCCACCTTCGAGGGGAGCAGCAAGGCCTGGGTGAGGCTGTCAGGGGGTGTACCACGTGGGCTTTGAGATAGTCGGATGAAGCAGGAAGCCCTCCAGGAAGAGACGGGGTCTGGGCCTGACAGCACCGCCGAGGAGGGGTGGTAACGAGGACTGGGGTGCGGGGGTGGTGAGCTGGGCGGGGCTGAATCGTGGCCTCTAAGAAGAATGTAAAAGCGGTTCCTGAGCAAAAGGAACAGGTGCGGATGGCATCCGTTCAGGACAGCTCTGGGGCCGGGAAGGGAACTGAAAGTGAGCGGGCCGGTGCGGGGGCGCAGGCGGATGGCAGGGCTCAGAGGAGAGGCGGTCCCCCGCCGCGGGGAGCGTGGAGACGCTCCAGCCTCACGCATGCGCGCGCGCGCGCACGCACAAGGCCCCGTCTAGGAAGCATTTCGCGGGGTCATCTTCTCAGCCTCAGAGTGTGTGCGCGACACGCGTGCTGAAGTGCACGCATGCGCCCCTGCCGGTACACCGCGAGCGCCACGGGTGAGGGGCTGACTGTTCAGTTGACGGGTTAATCTCTCTTCTTCCCCTTTCTACCGGTTGGTTTTCTTTTTGACTTTTTGTGGTTCCCCTGTGGCTTGGTCCTTTGGGCAGAAAACAAGGGGTTTTGTAAAACTCAAACACTAAAAAACACTTGTCAGGCCTTATCTGCGGTTCCGACAAAAAAGTCGCTATGATGCGACCAACGGTGGAATTAAACTTTAGAATTATGTATGGGTTAAAATGTTTATATGCCTGTGATTACAATTAACCAGCAGCCTACTGAGTCAGAATCTCTTCTTACCCGTTTTTCTCTCCGTATTTTCGGCCGCTGCACTTCTGTTTCTTCCTCCGCCCTCCGTGCTGCCTCCGGTTCTCGGCTCACGCTGAGCTCAGGGTCCCCAGGATTCTGAACTTGGGCAGGAAGCAGCTGTTGGCGCTTCTCACCGCCTTGTCTGGGAAAGAGGGGAGGTGGGAGAGAGATGGCATCTTTTTTTCCTTCTTTTTTTTTGAGATGGCATCTTTTAAAAATGGAGGGCTGGAAAGGGTCCTGGGGGAGCTGAGTGATCGGAAGAAAAACCTGGCCTTCGAGAAGGTGGTGTGTGTGGTGGGAGGGCTCCCCGGTCGGGGCTGGGTGGTCCGGTTACGGAGAATTGGGGAGGTGGGGGTACAGACACCCGCTGACTCTTGGGTCCTTGGGTAACACTTCCTGGATCCCAGTTTGGGGCAGGAGGGAGTCACATGACCCCGAAGTTTCCATCTGGAAACTTCCCTCCAGGAAAGAGGGAAGGAAGGGGGACAGGCTAGAGGGGCTTGTGTGGCTCTTCCCACGAGGCCAGGTGAAGAGTCCCGGGAGGAGAACACAGGCGGCCTCCTCTCTGTCCTGCAAAAGTGAATCCTCCTGCATTCTCACTCCCGCCTGTAGCGACTGAAAGGATACTGAGCCCGGCTCCAGCTGTTTCATCACGATGAGCAGCTGCAGGCTCTGGGCTTGGAGGGGCAGTCCATGAGTGGGGAGCGCTTCACTGGGGTCTAGAGAAAGCCGGGGAGGTAGCAGGTAGGAAAACGAGGTTGAGGGGTAGGGGCTGAGGCTTCCGGGTCCTGGGAATGGGGCCCTCTTGATGGATGCCTCCCGCACGTTGCCCGAGTGAAGTCTGTGCTGGTTAATATCTTTCTTCCTGTCTCTCTGTCTCCCCAAACCTCTTCCCACTCTGCCCTGCCTGTGTCCCCTCCCCTCCTGTCTCATCCCCTCCGTCTCTCTCCTCTGGCCGGCACACTGTCCATGCCTGGCCCGGGTTCCATGTGCCGCCTCCAACCCCTCTGCCTTCTCCTCGCCTCCCCAATCCCACCCCAACCCCACCCTGTTGGCCCCCACTCCCCGCAGCAGAGGGGAAGGTGTACAGCTCCGATGAGGAAAAGCTGGAGGCGCCCGCAGGAGACCCAGCAGGCAGCGAGCAGGAGGAAGAGGGCTCCTGTGCGGACAGTGAGGAGGACGGCTTCCTGGACAGTTCTGCCGCGGGCCCCGGGGCCCTCCTGGGACCTAAACCGAAGCTGAAGGGCGGCCTGGGGACCGCAGCGGAGGAGGGGGCACCCTCAGCGGGAGTCCCGGCCCCTGGGGGCAAGAGCCGGAGGCGCCGCACGGCCTTCACCAGCGAGCAGCTCCTGGAGCTGGAGAAGGAGTTCCACTGCAAGAAGTACCTCTCGCTGACCGAGCGCTCCCAGATCGCACACGCCCTCAAGCTCAGCGAGGTGCAGGTCAAGATCTGGTTTCAGAACCGGCGGGCCAAGTGGAAGCGCATCAAAGCTGGGAACGTGAGCAGCCGCTCCGGGGAGCCCGTGAGAAACCCCAAGATAGTGGTCCCCATCCCCGTGCACGTCAACAGGTTTGCCGTGAGGAGCCAGCATCAACAGATGGAGCAGGGGGCCCGGCCCTGAGGGGCCCCGTGGGGGCCCAGGGAGGCACAGGTCTGCGCGGACACTGGGCTGGGCTCTGGGGGCCACAGGCCCCCACCACGGTCCTGCCCGAGGATGGGGCTCCCGTCGGCAATTGGCACGGCTCTAGGGGGCCCTCCTGGCAACCTGAGGTGCGGACCCTTTCTGGGTCCTGGGCCATACCAGAGGCCCCAGGCCTGGACTTCAGGGGTTCTCGCTGTTGAGGAGCTGCTGGGACTAAAAGGGGGTTCCTCGGGCCTGCAGGGTCCCCCTTCCTTCAACTGATGCCCTAGAATCGCTTCTGAGGGGCGGGAGGAAGCCAGGGTGAGACCTGCCAAGCTGGTCACGGCTCCTTATTTATTTTGTGTAAAGTTTGTATATATGGAGCTCTCTGCCTCGGTCTGTGTCTTCCAGAGGGACTGGGGAGGTCGTGTGTCTCCTCCAGCCTCAGTTTAACCTCCCAGCCCCAGGGCGGGCACCGCCTTGCTTGTCTACAGCGCAGGATGTGCAAAGAAACAAAAGTTGGAACTCTCGCTGGCCTCTTTAGGTACCCGTCAGCACTCAGCATCTCCCCCACATAACCTACCTCTGCTTCTGTCCTTTCCCGCTGCACTCACTGCCCACTGTTCCCGCCTCTAGATCTCACGATCCTAACAGGCACCGCTGCTGCTTCTGACTTCAGGGTAGAGGACTCACTCGCTTTTGAATTGAGAGGAAGTGAACCTGGGCTACAGCCCAGGTTCCTAAGGCGGGTGTGTGCAGGCCATGTCTGACTAGGTGGAGGCCATGAGTCCTGTGAGGACCCGGGGCAGGCCAGGGGCTCACCCTTGTCACCCGGGAGCCCAACCATCATAAATCGTCTTCTGTGTAGAGGACACAGCAGCTCAGGCCATGTCTGCTGCTCTCTGACATTCCAGACATTGAGGGCCTGGAGCGGAAGACCCACTTTCAGTCCTCTGTGCTTACAGCGCTGTGGTGGTCTGCTCTCCCACCCACCTTGCCTCGTTTGTGAAGCCTGGAACCCCAGACCCTCTTCCGTTTGAGAGGGCCCACTCCAGAGTACAGGAGGCAGGAAGGTGTGTCTGGTGGTTCTGGGAGGGTGTGTGCTGTGGGGGAAGCTACAGAGACAGGAGTTAGAGGCTTCGGGGTGGAGATTCTTTGAGCAAATTAAGGAACAGCATCGGTGGTGGACACAGGAGACAGATGTGAGGCTTCAGGGACACCCGCAGGGCACAGGGTAGACCAGGAGGGAACGAGACACGCTGAAGCTGTCGGCCGCTTCCCCGCTTTTGCGAGACGGGTTGCCGTCCTGTACCCAGAGAAACCGGGTGAAGCTGCTGTCACGGTTAATGGGCCCACCTGGGAAGAAACAGGACCTGCTCTCTTCCTGAGCCGCTGAGATTAGAAGGCTCTGAGGGAGGCAGGTGAGCAAGGGCAGCCCCGGCCAGTCTCCTCACTGCCCCAGGGCACCGTGCTGTGGGTTCCGGCTCTGGGCGGGTCAGCTGTCTAGTCGTCCACCGCCCGCCTCTCCCGATGGGACTGAGACAGCCCTTTCCTCCCAGCGGCTCTGGTAGCCAGAGGGAAGGCACCCTGGAGCCTGGCTGGTTGCGAGCCACAGCGGCACAGCGCCTGGGCTGGGACAGGCATCCAGGGTCTTCTCTCTTCTTTGGCTAAATTCCAGGAAGGCTGGAGGCCAAGAAAAAAGTAATCCAGATGAGCCCCACCCTGATCTAGATCAAGGCTGTCTGAAACCTTACTGACCCACAGAGGGAACCTACAGGGTGAGATTCTTTTTAGGAGAGAAGTCAGGCAGAGAGAGGTCAAGGATCCCAGGAGCTGTAGTCACCTTGCTCTCAGGAATCCTGTCCGCAGGTCTAATGAGGGCAGGAGCAGAGGCCCTCGGGCTCTCTGCCCCCGCCCTGGGTCAGGGCGAGGGGTGGGCGAGAACTGCAAAACCAAGGCCGTCATCTGCCTTTTTTCCCCTGGCTTTGCCCCTGCAGCCTCCTGAACTATACCAGGCAGTTATTCACCCTCTCAAGCGGCTTCTTTTCCTTAGGGAACCTAAGGAGATGATTACTGCTAGCATTTTTCTGAGCCCAGGAACCCAATCTTACACATACCCATAGCCTTGTCTCTATTCTGCCCTTATCTTTGCTTAAGGTGCTTATCCGCCTTGAGAAAGGGGCTGTGGATCAAGAAAATAAAATCTGGTTTTCTCTCTGAATAGCTTTACTTGGTTAATTTCCCACTGGCAGACCAGAGCCCGCCAGCCCGCCACACCCACGGCGCTCACGGGCCACCAGCAGGGTGGCGGCAGGCTCCCTCGAGAGCAGGGACCCTAACCTAGCAAGTTCTTCAGAGCACAAGCAGAGAGTTTCTCCTGGCCGTCTTTCTAGCGAGACTGGGGACAGTCCGAGGGACACGGCGGGGACGGGGGGGCTGGGTCCTGCCTCCGGCTTAGCAGGGAGGCTGGGGGCAGCCCAGGGTGCCATCCTGCCGTCGGCGATGTGTCTCCTCCCCTGGCATGAGCCCCCCTCGTCCCATCGCGTCCTCAGACCCTCCTCCTGGGCACTGACCCCCTGCACGTCTGGCTGTGGGGCTGGTTCCCGGACTCCTGCCCTCTCTGCGGGTGACCTCTGGCCAGCACAGGCGTGGCGTTAATAAGGCTACTTGACAGAATACAGATGAAAGCAAGGAGACCAACAGGAAACCTCTGTGAGGGTGATGGGGGAACGGCAGGGAGCTTCCAGTGGGAAGCACAGGGCTAGTCTCCCCTCCCGGGGTGGCTGACAGACTCAACAACACCCCTGGAGAAAGGGGCTGAGAGAAGCCCGCGGACGAGGCTGGGCAGGGGGGGCGGGCACCCCAAAGTGCAGCAGAGAGGAGAGGACAGGCACGTAGAAGCGGAGTTCAGAGGGTGTTTTCTTGGGAAGGCGGGGGGATGAAAGGTGAGAGGCAGGCCACACACACACGGTCTGGTTTATTGGCTCACCACACACACGCCAAGTATGTACACAAACATAAATACTGCAATGTACACATTTACATGGGACCTCTGCCCCGCCCAGGCTCCCGGCTCGGGGTGGGGGTGCCTACAGGGGGCTGGTACGGGAAGGCAGGAACCTGGAGGAGGGCGAGGTCCTGCTCCCCTCCTCTCACAGCACCCCCAAAGCATCTTGTCCCTCCGCACGGCGCAGGCCAGGCAGGGGCCAAACACCTGTGGCGGCTGGGGTCCCAGGCGTCTCCTCTGACCCTCCCCTCCGGCTCTCCTCCCAGACTCTTCCCGGGTCCCTGGGTCTCTCCTCTCCCCCAGGGCCTGGAGGGAGGTGGGTGCCTGCGCCCCGGCGTCAGTCCTGGCCCCTCCGGCCTCTTCCCGGGGCTCACAGGAGGCTGGGGCTGCGGTGCAGCTCGGCGGAGGCGCTGGTGCTGTTGGTCGGCTCTCTGCCGGGGGCGGGGGCCACGCCACAGCCCTCCCCGGGGCAGCCGTGCTGGATGAGGATGTCGGCACACTCCTGGCTGCCGGCGCGGCGGGCGTAGGCCAGCGGGGTCAGGCCGCGGGCGTCCCGGCTCCGCACGTCCACCCCGTACTGCAGAAGGAAGCACGTTCTCACGGTTGGCAGGAAAGGCGTGGGTTCCCCCCGCGAGGGGTGGCAGGGGGAGGACGGATGTCAGGGAGGTCAGGAGGGCCCCCCCCACCGACTCACCCAGATGAGCAGCTGCGTGAAGACCACGTTGGCCATGGCGCTGGACAGGTGCAGGGCCGTCCGCCCGTCCCCGTCGCCGTAGGTCTCGTTCACCTCCTCCTTGGACCCGTGTGCCAGGAGTGTCACCAGCAGCCGCAGGTCGTCCTCCACCACCGCCCGGAGCAGCTGCTGGCCCAGCGGCACGTCCGAGCTGGGCAGCGGGGCCAGGAAGAGCTTCTGCTCGTACTTGGCCCGGATCCAGCGCTCCTTCTCCTCTCTGCGGGCACAGGCAGGGCCAGGCCAGGGGGGCCGTCAGGGGAGCGAGCAAGGTGGGGGTTAGGGGACCAGGACCCTCAGAGCAGAACCAGCCCGAGGGACCCAGGGCAGTCGGGGGCAGCGGGTGGCGCAGAGGGTGTGGGAGAGGCTGGACGGAACTCTTTGGGGGGAGACCCCAGGGGGCCGGTGGGGATGTGCGGGGGGACGTGGCAGGGACTGGGGGGCCTCGAGGGCTGGTGGATTCCAGACAGGGCTGGGGGCGGGAGGGCGTGGGTGGGCAGCTTATCTGGCCCTGCCGGAACAAAGGAGGTGGGGGCCTGCCCTGGGGGCCCACGGACGACCCTATCTATCTACTACCCATTCTCCGTATCTCGGCGCTCCGGCTGTAGGCTTTGCGCCATTGCAAAGAGCCCTGCGCATGCGCCCCCCGCCCCGCGACGTGCTGATAACGGCGGAGAAAGGGCTTGCTGTTGTGAGGCTCTGAGTGACAGGCGGAGGGTACCCCCAGGGCCCACTGGCGAACAGAGCAACGGCAGGGTTTAACCCTTCCAGCCCGCAGCCCTGTCATAGCCGCCCGGGGCCGCCCTGCCCTCCCAGCTCCCCACCCGCCAGGAGCACCGGGGGCCTCATGCCCTCACCTGCAGGCGTCAGGCCCCGGCTTAGCATAGCCGTCCAGGGCCCCCTCCCAGACGCTGTTGGCCAGGGCGTTGCCCATGGCTGTCATGACGGCCAGCAGCTCGGGTGGCCAGTCGTCGAGGTCGAGGGAGCGGACCCGGGACAGGTGAGCCCCCAGATGCCGGTGCGTCCCGGAGCACTCGATGCACATGAGCGCACCCAGGTTCAGGCTGGCCCAGTCCGGATCTAGGCGAGGATAGGACGTGACACGGAGCCGCCCACCCCCCCCCCCCAAATCCTCGAGCTCCACCCACCCGGAGTCCCCAGCCCGGTCCCACCGCCGCGGCACTCACTGGGGGCGTCGCAGTCAATACAGAAGCTGTTGCCCCGGACGGTGCGGACAGCCTGCACGGCCAGAGCTGCGTTCTG